CTCGCTCTGTCGCCCAGGCTGGAGTGCAGTGGTGCAGTCTTGGCTCACTGCAACCTCTGCCTCCTGGGTTCAGGTGATTCTCTTGCCTTAGCCTCCTGAGTAGCTGGGAATGTAGATGCATGCCACCATGCCCAGCTAATATTTTGTATTTTTAGTAGAGACAGGGTTTCACCATGTTAGCCAGGATGATCTCGATCTCTTGACCTCATGATCTTCTCGCCGTGGCCTCTCAAAGTGCTGGGATTACAAGCATGAGCCACCATGCCCTGCCTGTACCTTTCTAATTGAGAGGCTTGCATAGTAAAATGACATCGTATTAACTAAAATCTAATTTTTGAGACTTTAAAAATAAGTGTTATAAAACCTAAAGTGCTAAATTTTTATGTATTCATAATTCAGACCTGCCAGAGAATCCTCCTGTCAGAATATCTTCCCTTGTTATGAAATATATTTCAAATGATAAAAATGCTTACTTTCATGTATATAAAAATTGTTGTCATTGTGTCAAGGGCTTGCAGCTAGGTAGAGAAAGAAGTATAATGATTATTTATTTGAGTGAGAATTGGGTGGAGCTGTAGACTTGTTGCTTAGGTAAACCGATGAAGCAAGTTGTGAAAGATCTGAACGTTTTCAGATTTTACATTCAGAAAAGAAAGAGCAAATAAAAACTAATAAGATGTGATTTAAATTTAGGTAAATTGGGTAATCATTATGATGGAGCTGTTACTGCTTAGTTGTAGGATTTGATATCTGACTGCGATTCAAATTTAACACAAGCAGGATTTAGGGACCAAATTAAGCAGTCAGGCAGTAAGTCTTTCTAGATGGGGGATGGGACAGAACACTAGTTTGGAAAATCTGGATGGAGGTCCATGTGTACCTACAGTCAGCTTGTCAGCATCAGGGATATGTTTGGCAAAGTGCAGTATGTACATGTATGTGGAGCAGGCCTTTGGGAGTGGTATGGTGGCTCGTAGCAGGCAGTAGGTAGAGATTCAGACTGGCATCCTGGGGGAAAGGGGAAACGGGGGCTGGCAGTAGGCTTAGAAAACCTAGCCACAGGGAAACAAAACCAGACAGCATCCAGATTTCTTATTGGAAAGATACAAGGCGGGTATTTGCAGGAACAAAAGTGAGCTTAGTTGTTGGAATTATTTAGGATGAGCCAAGATGTAATATAAGATACTAAGCCTTTAAGCTTATATATTTTCTGTCCTGGGACTACATTAGTAGTCTACGTTAGTAGCTGAATCTTTAAGTTTGGTACAAGTGGTCCAGAATAACTGGATAAATGGGATCCTCTATGTAAATGCTAGAGGATATTCCCTGGTTATAGTTAGCCACTCCCTCTGTTTATTTGGTCCCAGGGATTTGATGTGCCTGCTTTTATTTGCTTTTGTCTCTTTTTCACCTAGATTTCTTTTTCTGTCATACCCAGTGCGAAGGAGATTACAAAACCTCAGCATATCCTTCTATTTGAGAAACAAGTATACAATCCTTCAGGGTGTTAATAAGCAGTTATAACTGCCAATATAATAATAAACGGCCAGCTAAGGCACAAGAAACTTGAAAGTACTGGTAATTGTCAGTCTCTTGATTTCACTGAAGTGGTGGTTGTTAATAGAGCTTTTTTGTTGTTGTTCCTTTTTTTTTTTTTTTTTTTTTTTTTTTTTTTTTTTTTTTTTTTTTTTTTTTGATAGTGTGTTACCTGTCTTTGGCAGTCCTCCCTCACACTCCCCCCAGCTTTCTTTTTGGCTTACATTAGGTAGATATTTAGACAGTAGCTCACAGTAGAGACATTTATTATGTCTCTTAAGCAGATAAAATTAATCCTTCTAGGACTTCAGTAACCTGAGACTGTGCTATATATACTCATTTTTGAATCATAACCTTGGTTTTAACCACAAGTGAAGTAGGCATTTTGCTTCTGGGCTCCTGTTTTCTTCTTTGGTCTAAACTTTATATTGCTTCTTTGTTTTTGGTTATGGTTTGGTTTTTGTTTCTGAAGGTCTCAAGTTCCTAGACGTTCTACTCTACCTGACCATTTTCATTGAACCCTGTTTGATTTACTGAAAGCATATTTACTAGTTGTTTGCACCTAAGGGTGCTTTTACTCTAGACGAAACACTGCTTTTAAAAAAATTCACTATTCTAAAATGATATTGGCTTAAGATGTTGTTCCAGTGTCAGGTATTGTTAGGGATTTTTTCTTTCCTAGAACCTATCTTTTCCAGTGCCTCCAGTAGACTTGTATTTTATAATCTCTCAGATATTATGTAGCTTGTTAAACTTCTCATCATGATCTTGTTCAGTTTCTTACCTCATTTGCAAAACGAAGATGACTAGCATGGGAGCCTGAATTCCACGATCTGTTTTAGTACTTTATTAGTGCCACTTAGCGTAGGTTCTTTTTGATGATTCAGCCTCCAGATGATTCCAAGGGAGTGGCTGTGTAGCATCTAATCACTAGGAGTTTCTAGTAGAATACAATCGTGAGCCCCTTAGGAATGTTTTGGTTAATAATATGCCACATATATGGCAGCGATCACCTAAGATTATAATGAAGCTGGAAAATTCCTCTTCTGTAGTGAGTTGTAGCCATCCCACTATAGTGGTGTAATGCATGACTTACTGTGTTTGTGGTGATGCTGGTGTCAGCAAATGTGCACTACCACTTGTATAAAAGTATAGCACATACATACGTTTATATGTAGTACATATATTGATAAATATATTATTTATTTTCTGTGTTACTGGCTTGTGTGTTTAGCGTGTTTTTTAATTGTTATTTTAGAGTGTACCATCTTCTACTTATTAAAAGAAGTTAACTGTAAAACATCCTTAGGCAGGTCCTTCAGGAGGTATTCCAGAAAAAGGCATTGTTATCATAGGAGATGACAGCCCTATGCACATTTATTTTTACCAGTGGGATGAAATATGGAGGTGAAGACAGTGATATTGATGATCCTGATCTTTGTAGGCCTTTTGGTTGTAGGCTAATGTGTGTGTTTATGTCTTACAACAAAAAGGATTAAAAAGGAAAGAATTTTAAAATGGCAGACAGCATATAGAATATGGATATAAAAAAATAAAATATTTTTGTACAATTATACAGTGTGGGTGTTGTAAACTAAATGTTATTACAAAAAGTAAAAAAGTTAAAAAGTTTATAGCTAAGGTTAATTTCCAAAGAAAATTAGAAAAAAAGAAATAAAAGAAAGTAGCTTCAGTGTACAGTGTTTATAAAATCTGTAGTAGTGTGTAGTAATGTCCTAGGCCTTCACATTTGCTCACCACTCTGGGACTCACCCAGTGCCGCTTCCAGTCCTGTAATCCCTATTCATGGTGGGTACCCGCTATGTAGGTGTACCATTTTTATTACTTATAATGTATTTTCAATATACCTTTTTTAGTTGAAATATACAGATACTGACTATTGTGTTACAGTTGCCTACAATATTGAGTACAATAGCATGCAGTATAGGTTTGTAGCCTAGGAGCAATAGGCTATACCCTATAGTTTAGATGTGTAGTGGGCTGTACCATCTAGGTTTAAGTACACCCTGATGTTCACACATGGACCAAATTGCCTAATGACACATTTTCCAGTATGCATTCCCATTGTTAAGTGATGCATAACTGCACTTTTAAGTGTGGTGATAGTTATAAACAGTTAACACCAACATTAAGAAAAGGGCCTGTAACAAGGTCACATCATCAAGTAAAGAAGCTGCTGATGAGAGATTAATCAAGAAGTATTTTCCTTAATGTGAGGAATGTGATTAATGTCATGTTAAGTGCTTGGGGATTTAGGATAAATAAAAGTTTTGGTGCCTCAAATAGTTTACATGTGTTAAGGGTTGGGTATATTATTAGAATCACATTTTTTTTTTTTTTTTTTTTTTTTTT